GTAGCTACAAGGTATGGACTATTAATATACTATTAATAATAACGGTTAATATACTATTAATATACTGTTAATATACTATTAATATACTGTTAATATGTTAATTATAGGACACCATATTCTCCTGATGATGATGAAAGAGATTCTGAAACAGTAAGTGTTGCTGATGTAAGAATTTTGTAGCTTGTAACTAGTTTATAAAATAGTTGAAATTATAACCGGTTGTTTAGTTATGGAGTCGACTTCGAATTAAGAAAGATGACGTTAATGAATGGACTGTCCGCTGTCGTAAGGTTGGACTATAATAATAATTATTATTAATTATTATTAATTTTAGTGGTTAGCTCAGACTGTCATAATTCCAATATCAAAAGAAATTCACTCGATGAACAAGAAACTGGAAGGAATAGGCTCAAAGAAATTAATTGGAAGTAATCATAATAACAATGATAATATTAACGAACAAAACTTAACCTCTTACTGTTATTATTGTTCCTTCAGTTGCTAGTGTAGCCCAGTTGCAGGATGAAGCCATCCTAAGGGGAATGATGCTCCCCAGTCTAAGTATGCTGTTACGCTACCTGAGCCTATCGACCAGACAGGACTATCTTGTGAAGAGAATTCACGGTAAGAGATACTAGCCTTGGATACCTCAAACTTTCTACATAGCATAAGGGCATCAATATGTATCAGAAAATGTAATAAAAATTGAGGTGATTTCGGAGTCATTTTTTGGAAAAAAAACATGGGCTATAGTACAGGGTATTTTTCAGAATTTTTGGCATTTTCTTAAAATGGCCGTAACTTGAAAAAATGAAGTCGGAATCACCTCAAACTTTCTACACAGCATGAGGGCATCAATATGTATCAGAAAATGTAATTAAAATTTGGGGTGATTTTGGAGCCATTTTTTAGAAAAAACCATGGGCTATAGTAAGGGTATTTTTCAGATTTTTGACGTTTTCTTAAAATGGCCGTAACCTGAAAAATTGATGTCGGAATCACCTCAAACTTTCTACACAGCATGAGGGCATCAATATGTATCAGAGAATGTAATAAAAATTTGAGGTGATTTTGGAGCCATTTTTAAAGAAAAAACCATGGGCTATAGTACAGGGTATTTTTCAGAATTTTGGCATTTTCTTAAAATGGCCGTAACTTGAAAAATTGAAGTCAGAATCACCTCAAACTTTCTACACAGCATAAGGACATCAATATGTATCAGAAAATGTAATAAAAATTCGGGGTAATTTCGGAGCCATTTTTTAGAAAAAACCATGGGCTATAGTACAGGGTATTTTTCAGATTTTTGATGTTTTCTTAAAATGGCCATAACTTGAAAAATTGAGGTCGGAATCACCTCAAACTTTCTACACAGCATAAGGACATCGATATAATCACAATTACTTTATGTCATAGCTTGCAACTGATGCTGATCCAGAGGATATACTAATATCCCCTGTTAGCATTTTAAAAGTAGTCGTCTTCCCGGCTCCATTAACACCAAGGAGTCCAAAGCACTCTCCATTGTGAATAGCAATACTGATACCATCCACTGCTAGTTTTGTGTTAGCATTAGTGCCACAAGGAAATAACTGAGCAGACAAGCTTTTGTACTCCTAAAAAAATAAATAAATAAAATTCAAAAAATAAAAATACTTATTGATTCAAACAGAATTGGTACAATAGTATCTTCTTGTTTTACTTTGGTGAGGCTTGATATGATAACTGGATAGTCTTTAGTGTCTTGTAATTCTGATACCAGTTCCCTCTCAGTGGCCACATCTCTGTCCCTCTCTCCTTCAAAATCCTACAAAAGAAATGTGATAATAATAATAATAACAATAATAATAATAATAATAATAATATCAATAAGAATAATTCTTCTTACATCAGTGGTGATACAGCCAATTTCCTCATCATTCTTCCTCTTTTTAGAAATAAACAACTTAATCTCTTGCAGATAAAAATTTTTCTACAAAAATGCCAAGACACAGAAATGAAAGCAAAGATGTTACATGCTTCCTCCATTACCTCCAGCAACAGTACCAAGATTGTAGCAATCACTGATTCTATTGCTAGTATAACCAGTATATGACCAACACCAGGTACCGCCAACTGGAATATATCATAAGCAACTCTAGCATTCACCTGATCACATATTCTATAAATAAAGCAC